TTTCTCTTTTTGGCCTTTGCTTTCCCATATGTATTTTAGAAGCTGTTTGTCAAATCAAAAAAGAAATACTATGTTGGGATGTTTATTGGAATTCTAATAAATCTACAGATGAATTTGAGCATCATTGACAGTTTATAGTATGGAGTCTTTCCATTCATGAAGATACTTTCTCCCTTCATTTATTGAAGGCCTCCTCAGTGAGTTCCAATGAAGTTTTCAATAAGCAGGAGGTCATACCTCATTTGGGCTCACTTATCACCCCCTAGCTTGATGTCCACTGTGACCCTCAGGACCCTCACTCAGCTCTAGGTTAAGGTGGCTGAGCACACCCCCTGCTGTCCATTCACCATCTGCATCCCTAATACCTCTGCTAATGACCTGATGCCAACTCTGTTCTCTTAAGCCTCTTTTCTGAAGTTCTCCACCATGAGCCAGTTGATACCAGGCCCCAGATGTGCCTCTCCCCTCAGATTGGGCTTCCCATCATCCTCTCTCCTTTCCATCTGGCCATTCCTAGAGCTCTGCACTGGATGAGGGGGAGGGAATCTTGGGCAGTCTTAGACAAGTCAAGAGGGCAGAGTTTGGCCTCCTCTAGGTCCTTTGTATAAGGAGCTCTGGTGGCATAGTGCCTAAGGCACTTGACTGCTAACCAGAAGGTTGGTAGTTCAAACCCACCAGCCACTCTGCAGAAGGAAGACAGGGCAATCTATTTCCATAAAGATCTACTGCCTCAGGAACTCAAAGGGGGTCATTATGAGTCAGAATCAACTCGATGGCAGTGAGCTTGGTTTGGTTTGGTTTAGGTCCTTTGTAGCTGGAGGTCCACAAGGTCCAGATACCCCCTCCTGGAGGGTGGGAGTGGGGATTTTAGAAAGCATTCTCACTAAGCCCCTTGGGTTTGTGGAGTGAAGGCAAGCCTGAACCTGCCAGTGGAAGTAGTGATAGATTGCAAAAATTCCCCAATCCTCTACATACTTTGCTATGTGATTTTACTTTTCTTCCTATTAAGAGGTGGAGTCTTTTCCTGGAATCTGGGCTGGCCCTGGTACTTGACTAGGCCAACAGAATTTGATAGAAATGAGGTTGGTACCAGTGATGAGCTTGGGCCTCAAGGGACCTTGCCGGGCTCCATTTTCTCCCCTGCATGGCCAGGACTAAGGTGAAGTGAGTGAGGCAAGTAAGGCACTCATTGCCTTAGTAGGCTCCAACAAAGCTCAGCATGGCACTATTACTGATACTGTCTTCTAAATTTTCATATTTTGTTCATTGGGGAAGGGTTGTGTGTGTGTGTGTGTGTGTGTGTCCCCTTAAATTTGGGGTCTGAAGTAAGTGCCTTAACTTGCCTCACCCTGCAAATGCAGAGAGAGTCCCAGTCCAGCTCTCTGGAACCCACCCCAGCTGTCATATGAACAAGTCAGGGCTAGCTTGCTGGAAAATGAGAGGCACATGGTCCAGTCACCCTTGTTGCCCCAGCCTATAGCCAGCCAACCTCACAAGCAGAACCACCTAAATGATAGCAGCTGACTGCAAATATACAAGTGAGCCTAGCTGAGACCAGATGAACCAGCTAGCTAGGCTCAACTTAATTTTCAACTCATAGAATCAATTGTTACTTTAAGGCACTAAATTTTGGGGTGATTGTTACGCAGCGACAGCTGACTAATATACCAACTTTTGCATGAGCTAAAGGTAGTGGCTTCGGAGAATGTCCAAGGGTTGGGGCAGAGGGGACAAAGGAGTTATTCAAGTGAGGTACCACCATCCTAAGCCCAAATATACCTAGGGTCCTGGCTGCCATCTAGGCTCTACCTACCAGCCACCACCCCTTCTGACCCTCAGGGTGCCCTATAGGGTTGAGTTTACAGACAGAAAAGAGTCAGAGGTCCAAGTGCAACAGGTCTTTTTCTGACTTCTACTCTGGTGTCCTTTCTGAAATGGCTGGTTCCCTCTGTCCCCTCCTGGGAAATGGAGAGGAGTTGAGTATTGTCTAAAGTGAAAAGTCTGTGGCAGACCCCACATACCCTCAAAAGCTCAAGTGGAGGACTAGGAATAGGGGTGGGGCTAAGGAAGTATCCAGGAGGACAAGACAGGACCAGGAGGTGGGCCCAGCAGGGAAAGTCTTAAAGTGTGTTTGTTCTTTTGTTCATTTGCAGGGCAGTGTGGACCCAGATCTGAAATGTAGGACCCAGAGTCCCAGCTTCTGGCCCAGCAGTCACTGCCCTCCACAGGGACTCGATACAGCACATGAATTGAGCACACCCAGGCCCTCAAGGCAGAGGTCTCTGGGTGCCCAGCATGACCCAGACTCCCCTGGTGAGGTAGGTTGGTGACCATGGGACTTTCCTTCCTTGAATTGACAGGTTCCTGGGCTGGAGGGTGTACCCTGGCAGGGTCCCCAGCCCTAAGGGGCAGGAACATCCTAAAGCAACTTCTGACAGTGCTCTGGGTTTTGGAGTGGATGGGGCAGAGCTCTGCTGGGGGAAGAAACATTCCAGCCGCTTGAAGGTGCAGAAGGTCAGCTCACTCCCTGGCTGTGCTCTTAAGGGTCTAAGTTCCAAGTGTGGGTGTCAGAAGCCACCTGCCTTTAAGCCTCCTCCTCTTAGGAGCCACCTCCACCAGAGGCAGCATCTTGGTCCTGGACTGCTGAGGAGGAAGTGAAGGAGGGGGCTGGGACCCCAGGCTGCAAGTAATGCAGCATGGACCCCACATCCTCCTTCAGTGACGACCCATCCCAGGGGCTTCCAGCATGCCATCACATGACAATAGCTTCTCCAAGAGGGTATGTCTCCTGTCCATTATGACCCAAGCCCATGAACCTCAGACTAGGGAAGCAGAGAGATAAGGGGCACAAGAGGTGGGTGGATAAGCAGTGGGAGGGAGAGGGCCCCATGTCATGGTCCCCACCTACCATGAAGGTGCAGGCAGGGCTTGAGGCCCAGCTTCTCAGGGTGGCTGTTGGGCTCTAGCAGAGTTCTCAAGGTCTGAAGAGCAATGGGCAAGGGTGAACACTATGAACACAGTGAGAGGGGTGGTCCCTGTTTCAAGATGAGGCACAGGGGATCCAAGGAGGCTGGGTCTGTTAAGTTGGGAGGAGGGGTCCTTCTGGATCTCTTCCCATCCCTCCCCATCTTCCACTGGTGCCCCACTCACCAAGGGGCTGGGACATTCCAGTGGCTGTCGGGCCTAGCTCCATGGGGTAAATGCTGCTCACTGGGTGGTCCCTGCCTGGGTTAGGTATGGGCCTGTGCAGCAGGATAAGAGGCCAGGAGGTCAGAATAGTGACTCTGAGCAGGGCTCCTTCCCTACAGTCAGTGGCACAGCACCCAGCCTGAGCTCTGCATTGACTGAGTCTCCACCTTTCTGATCCAAGTAAACTTCTCCGGTCCCCCTCCTGCATGGCTCCTCGGTTCCCTCCCAGAATCACCTGCCCCTCTGCTCCGGACATGTCTCCCAAGCCCCCTCACTACCACAGCATCTCACAACCCTCCAGACACTGGCATTGCTCAGGCCTCAAAGGAGGGCATCCTCCCACAATGATAGCTGTGCTTTGCTGCCCTTGATGATGCCAAGTCATCTTTGCCTGCTAGTGCCCACTCTCCCAGTCTTGCTTCTTCCTTCCTTGTCTTTTCACAGCAGTCTCCATTGCCCTCAAGACTCTGCTCTAGTGACTTGATGAGAAGGTGCAGTTACCTTCTCTCTGTAGCGTCCCTCATGCTGCCAGGCCAAGCTCTGCCCACAGACCAGCAATCACTGCTCATCATGTCAAAACCTCTCAGCTGGCCTCTGACACTCAGTTGGTGGCTGGCACCTCAGTGGGATGTCTTTTGCCCCATCTCCAGCCAGTGAAGTGCCCTAGGTCCAGCCTAGACCCTGCCCCCTTCCACAGCTCACTCAGAGCACCCTCAAGTCCAGCCTGTAAGACATGGCCAGAGGGGCCTGCCTTGCCTAGGGTGCCAGTAAAGAGGCAGCCCTAGGTTGACCATGGTTGGCATTAATGTGGCCCTCAGCCCAGTCACAGAGGTCTAGATGATGGGTGGGCATCATAGCTGACCAGTGGCACAGAGTGAAAAGATGTGCTGGGTCCACATCTGGGAACTTGAAGGGGATAATGAAGAGAATTTGGCAGAGGAAGTGGCAGAAGGCTGGACACTCATTAGACAGAGAGAGGCTTGAAAGATCTCCAAGGGAACAGTGGAGCACCAACTGCTTTTTGAGCTGGTGGATAAACTAAGCAAAGTTGAGGGTGAGGCGGCTGCCTGGTGACAGAAACAGGAGGTTGGACAAGGGGAATGAACCATAACAATGAGATGCCAAGGACCCTGCCCTGAGGTGGTGGTGGAGGTCAGGGACCTAAACTATGGGCTTGACTAGTATGCCATTGAGGCTTCCTGCCCAGGGCTCCTCTTTACTGCCTCCAGCTAGCTTGTCCCTCTGAAGGCCTCATAGACCCTAGACAAGGTTTGGAACCCCTGCCCCACTGCCAGTCTCCCCAGCAGAGCTCCAAGGATCAAGAACCCCAGCGGTGGGCTCAGGATGCAGGGGCCTGAGCCTTCAGGGGTAGAGCATTCAGAGCTAACCCACTGCGAGCAGGACCCCTCCTCGAGTCCCAGAGGTACTGCTGGAGACAGGACCTCGGACACCGGAAGCAGCACCAGGCCAGGCCAGCCCCCAGGAACAGAGGCAGCAGGAAGCTGAGGATCATGGCCAGCAGGAAGGCATCGTGGCCTGAGGAGGACAGCATGGTGCTGAGTCCTGAGCACATACACCAGCCCAGCCCCTGCCCACCTGCCCCATTCTCATACTTTCAGGCCGCAGCGGGCCGCTGTCTATGCTGCCTCCCAACCCTGGCTCATCGCAGGAGGGTGGTGCCCAGCCTGGAGCACAGTGACAGTTGTAGTTGCTATTGCAAACCTGCAGAGGTGAGTAGGAGGGGGAGGGTCAGGTGGATCAGACTCTATGTTCCCCACCCCACAGGCTACTCACCCCATGGGCATGGCATGTTGCCAGGCAATGCTCCAGCTCCTGGAAGGTGGCATTCTGGCAGCGCCTGTCTCGGCACACCTGCAGGTGGTGTGCACACTGGGTGTGAGGCTCCAGCCAATAGGAGTCAAGTGGCAGGAAGGGTTAGGGTGAGCCGGGCTCACCATTCTGGGTCCACACTGAGTGCCTGTCTCTACCAGGCCCAAATCAGGCAGGTCTAGCTGGATCCCAGGGAGAGCAAAAGCTGCCCTGCAGGTCATCTCACGGCCATCCAAGCTGATAGTGGAGTCCACAGGCTCTGTGTGTGGCACTCGGGGCCTCAGCTCCCCACCCTGGCACTGCAGCTTCCCACACTGGGCATCCCTGCGAATGGAGTGGAGGGTGGTCAGAAAGCAGGAGGGCTTCTTCCAACCCACTTCCAGTTTCTGCTGCCTCCCCTTCCCTACCTTTCCTACCTCTGTGGACAAGGCACAAAGTGGCCCTGTCTGTCTTGGCCACAGTTCCCGTGGGCATCTCCTGCAGAGTTCACCACCTGGAAACAGGCCTCTGGGGCTGGGCGAGAGCCTGGGGAAGTGTGGGTGGGGTTGGGAACAGCCCAGCTGTTCCCAGGGACCACGCTCTGCAGGCCTCAGTTCCCCCCAATTCCTCTCCACCCCACCCCCAAGAAAAATAACTAGAGCAGGCCCGAGGATGAGAACAAGGATGCAAGGGCGCACAGGCCAACTCACCAGGCCCCCAGAGTTGCTGGCACTGCTGCTCAAGCGTGGGGCATGCGCCATCCTGGCAGTAGCCGCGGCCCCTGGCGCAAGGCGAGCCGTCCAGTACGTAAACGTCTGGCGGACAGTGGGGGGAGGATCCCGTGCAGAACTCGGGGAGGTCACAGTCGCCCGTGGCCCGGCGGCACAGCGTGCCAGCCTGCTTCAGCTGCGCAGGTGACAGGGGTTAGGGAAAAAGGCAAGAGGGAGGGAAGCGAGGCACACACAAAGATACAACAAACAGCTCCGAGCCGGCGAGGGAGCCAGCACCCGGTAAACGGGCAGGAAGGGCAGCAATCATCCCAAACAAGTAGGCTGGCAGCCAACTACGGAAGAAGAAACAGCAAGACCCCCTAACCCGCACCCGCGAGCTTCCCAAGCCCGCACCAGGCAGCGCGCGCAGCAGTCCCCATGGGTGCACTGGGCCCCAGCGCGCAGCGAGCAGTTGTGGGCAAGGCAGCATGAGTCCCGGCACTCCTAGGACAGAAAGGCGAAGAGGTACCAGGTCAGGGCGCAGCGCCCCAGGTCTCCGGGGCGGGGTGGGCAGGGGCAGGGGCAGGCTTGGGCCCCAGGGGCCTGGCCCCCGAGTCTGACCTGGAGGACGCCGCAGTCGCACTCCTCGCCGGCCTCCACGATGCCGTTCCCGCAGCGAGCCCGTGGCAGCAGGACCCAGGGATCCGGGGCATTGGAGAGGCACGCACCACCTCCCTTCCGGAAGAAAGCGCGTAGCTGCTGGCGGCTGCAGGCGCTGAACACGCGCGGAAAGGGGCGTCTGCGGGCCGGGAGGGGGTCGTCGGACATGTGAGGACCATCCCCACCTCCGCTCGTCCCCACCCCCTCCCCTGGGTTGGTCACCCAGCCTCTTAACATACGTAAGTGGGGTCCTCTAGGAAGCAGTGCCCAGAAAGGGGATGTGACAGCAAAGTTACACAGAGAGCTGAAGGCGGCAGGGTGTGACGTGAAGAATGGGCAGCCAGGCCCTAAACTTGAATCCTATTCCAGCGCTGCTAGTCCCAGGAATGGAATAACCTCACTAGGTTGTTCCGCAAATACTCTTAATACTCTAGCGAATCCACTTTACCTAAGTTTTGCCCTATTTAAGCCTCATAAACAACCGCTTCCCCCAAGAAAAAAACGTGTGGTGGAACGGATTCCGATTCACGGCGACCTGATGTGTCACAGAGTAGAACTGCTCTTCAGGGTTGTCTTAGCTGTAATCGTTAATGGAAGCAGATCGCCAGACCTTTCTTCTGCTGAGTGGCTAGATGGATTCCGATACCAACCTTCAGTTAGATGAGCTACTTGCGCATCAAAAATCGCTTGTGCCACCAGGGACCTAAGGGCATTTCCTCCAAAAGAATGCTTCCCAAGTCTAGCCCCCAACCCCAACCCTACCGCCTTCCCCACTGGGCCCGCACCCCATGGCTGCTGCCATGATACAGCCGCCCTGCTCGGCCAGGGCCTCCACGCAGCAGCCGTCGGGATCGTGGCTGAGGCCGAGATTGTGGCCTATCTCGTGGGCCATGGTGGCTGCAGCGCCAATGGGGAGCTCCGAGTGGTCCTGGAGAGCGTGGGAGGGGCGGTCACCAAGGGCCGCGCCCCTCGGCCGCGCCCACCCCTCCACCAGTGCCTCACCGCGCTCACGCCTCCAGAGCTCTCCATGCGGCACATGCCCTCCACTGGCGCTAGGCCCACGGTGGCGCCCCCGAAGGCGCGACCCCTGAGGGCAAAGCGCAGTGTTACCTGGCGAGCGGGGGGGGGGGGGGCGCGACTTCCCAGCCCGGCCCTGGGACCTGCGTTGGGGATTGGAGCACCCACGTAAGCAGCTGCGCAGAGTCGTGTGGCTGCAGCGCCCACAGTCCCCGACGCCACTGCAGGAAGGCCCAGAGCGTGGCGTTCGCGTCCGGCGTGACGCGGCTGAGGTCCCGCTCCGTCCACACTTCCAGGCCGGTAAGAGCCACTTGAATGTCCAGAGTCCTGAGGAACTGAGGACGTGGAGGGGCTGAAGCCCGGAACATGGCGCCTCACCTGGACCCTTTTTGCTCCTCGGTAAGGACGCTTCCTCATATTTTCCTGCCTTCGCCGCCCCCCCGCTAGGGCCATCCCACCCCTGCCGCAATCACCCGTTATTACTGCTGTGTCCAGCTGCACCAACCTGGTCCACATAGTTGACGACTTCTAGGAGACGCTGTTTGGTGCTGTTCAAGTTCCGGTGCTGGGCCAAGAACTGGGAGGGCAGCAACACAGCGGCATTAGGGGCTGAGGTGGCCCCATCCCGGCCCGGACCGCCTTGGGTATCCCCTTACCATGGTGTGGTCCGCCACCATGTACAGCTCCAGGTACCTGGGGCTCCTGCGAGCCTCTCGCCTTTCCTGGGGAGGGGCGGTGGTGACCCTGAAGGGAAGACTGCTGGGCTTGAGCCCTGACCACAGCCCCCACTTCCCACAAGGAACGAAGTTAACATTAAGAATTTTTTAGACAAGATTCCCTGGACTGGGGCCTGTGCATTTCTGCCTCTTCTGACATCAATTCCAACTCACAGCGACCCCCATTGGGCTTCTGAGGCAGTAAATCTTTACAGAAGTAAATTGCCCAATCTTTCTTCTGTGGAGTGGCTAGTGGGTTTGAACCAGCAACCTTTTGTTTACCAGTCAGATGGCTTAGGTACTATGCCACTAGAGCTCTTGCCCCTTGTCTCTGACCCTCACCCTGCTCTGGGGGACACGAGGAAGGCCAGCAGTGTCCCTTTTGTCACTGGAGTCCCTGTGGCCACAGTCCCCTTTCCAACTGAGCAGCTGCCCTGTCCAGAAGATCTTGTAGGTCCAGGGGTCTTTGGAGACGGCAGGTGGCCAGGCATGAAGATAATAGCTTGCATTTCTGCTGAGCACAATCAGGCCGCTGGGGTGCAGAGGTGGGTGTGAGAGAGCGCCTTCCCCAGCCCAGCCCCAGCCTCTCCCCAGAGTTCCTCACCTCATCCCGGAGCAGGTGCTGAGGACTACCCAGGAGTCAGGGTAGCCCCTCACACGCCCATGGTAGTGGCAGTGATCCTGGAAAGGAAGGGCTGAAGTAAGAAGGGCTACACAGAGGGCATGATGGAAGACAGACTGCCACCTCTCCTTAGGAACAGGAGAAGAATCGAGCAATAATGATGAGAAAGGGATGTTCTCAGAGGTTTCAGCCCTCCAGAATCCCCACCCCATCCTCAGAGCCTTTGGAGACATGAAGATATCTCACCGTGTGTTTGGGGACCAGCACCACTGGCTGCCCATCAGGGTTATAGTGGGTTTCTGTGTATCCAGGAGCCAGTAGCCTGCAGGGAGAGGGTATCATAGGGATCACTAGTTCGGCCCCACCTCCTCCAGGAGGCCCCCCAGCCTTCCTCCCTGAATGCTAATTGAACAGCTCTATAAGTGAGGTTCATGGCGGCCCCGTGTGTGTCCAAGTACAGTTGTGCTCCATAGGGTTTTCAATGGCTGATTTTTTGGAAGTGGGTCACCAGGCTTTTCTTCCAAGGCGTCTCTAGGTGGACTTGAATTTCCCATCTTTCAGTTAGCAGCTGAGCATGTTAATCGTTTGTACCACCCAGACACTCCCAGTAAATGATGTTCTTGTTAGGTGCAGTCCAGTCGGTTCCCACTCACAGCGACCCTGTGTGCAACAGAAAGAAACGCTGCCGAGTCCTGCACCATCCACACAATGGTTGCTATGTTGAGCCCATTATTGCAGCCATTGTGTCAGTCCTTCTTGTTGAGGGTATTTCTCTTTTTCGCTGACCCTCTTCCTCAGTATCCTTGTCCATTTGAGGCAATTGAAAACACCATGGCTTGGATTAGGTGCATCTTCGTCCTCAAAGTGACATCATTGCTTTTTAACACTTTAAAGAAGTGTCTTGCAGATTTTGCCTATGCAATGTGTCATTTTAATTCTTGACTGCTGCTTCCACGGGTGTTGATTGTGGATCCAAGTAAAATGAAGTCTTTGACAACCTCAATCTTTTCTCCACTTATCATGATGTTGCTCATGGGTCCAGTTGTGAGGAGTTTTGTTTTCTTTAAGTTGAGGTGTAATCCACACTGAAGGCTGTAGCCTTTGGTCTTTATCAGTAAGTGCTTCACGTCCTCTTTGCTTTGGGCAAGCAAGGTTGTGTCATCTGTATATTGCAGGTTGCTGATGAGTCTTCCTCCAATCCTGATGCTGCATTTTCGTATGGTTCACCACTCCTGTCAGTTTGTCACACCGTGGTGGCTTGAGTGTTGCTATGATGCTGGAAGCCTGGCCACCGGTATTTCAAATACCAGCAGCATTGCTCATGGTGGACGGGTTTCAGTGGAGCTTCCAGATTAGGACAGACTACTAGACTAGTGATCTACTTAAAAAAATGGCCAGGGAAAACCTTGTGAATAGTTATTGATAATACAATCTGGCTGGTTTTGTGAACCATTCCCACTGCTGCTCCTCACAGGCTTTGTCTTAGACACCTACCCTGGGCCTGGCTTTGCCTTCTCACTCACCAGCACAACATCTTTGGCTTTGCACTGTCCAGGACACGCAGCACTAAAACAGCCTTTGTGGCCGTCTGTGATCTGGCTCTCTGCAGAGGTCCTGTCCCCCTGCTCCCTGCTCCCTCCCCAGCAGCTGGGGACCTTCCAAGCAATCCAAACAAATTATTGCTCCTACAAAGTGGTTTGAGTACTGCAGCCCCCGCACCTTTGTCCCTGCCACTCTTTCAGCCTGGAGTGCCTCCAGGTTCAACTCCACCTTTGGAATCTAGCCTTGGATTCTCTTTTGATTCACATACCCTGTGGGTACCCACTAGGTGGTGCTCACTCATCTCCAGCAGGCAGCCTGGTGCTGACAAGATACTCCTGCGGGTGAGCTGAGGGACTTGCCCTACACTCTGGGGCTGACCCAAGCTCCAGGGACCTAATCATGGGCCTGGTGACCCTCCCTATCTCCAGTAACTCTTCCAGGGCCCTCTCCCCATCCAGCCTTCCTCAGGGATTCATGTCAGTTCCTGTCCCCAGCACTATTCCCTCCAGAGTGAGGGTCTGTTCTTGGCTCCCAGCCCCCAGCATGGTACTCACTGTTTCTTCTCTAGCTCAAGCAGGAGCTCCCAGCCTTCAGCCTCCAAGGCCACCAGCCTCATGTCTAGCTTTGAAACCTGGACGAGAAGGAGTGTAAGGCTTGTAGGGGGAGGAGTGGAGGTGGATGTCCAGGCCTGTCAGGGAGCAAGTAGAATGTAGATCTGGCCAGGGAAGGTGTTCCTGGGGAGAGCATTGTAGGAGGGGCCTTGAGGCCCCTCATGTGTCGTGGTGAACATGGTAGGGTGTGCTATTAGGTCACTAAGATGTTCCCCAATGAGGATGTGCATGGGGGTAGCACCTCCCTGGGAGGTAACAACACCCAGAGAGATGCCTGCCTTGCCCAAGTCCCTGGACCTTTCCTCTGACCCTCCCTCCTCTTTCATGCTGGGAGTGTTCCCTGCAGGCAGGGGAGGACAGTGGAGTCCTGAGACATCGGGTGGCTGTGGCTCAGGCCTCCTCCCAGACTCTGTGGTGTCTGGGAGCTTGTTTCTGTATCTTTCTGCCCCTCACTCCCTGTAGGATCCAGACTTTACTCCACCTCCAATTCTGGCAGCCTCAGCCTTGTACTTCCTGACCCCACTAAGAAGTTTTGCTTGGTCTCTGGCAGGCCCACTCCATACCTGCTTCACTGAACCCATGGAGTAAATAAGGATCCCTACTCCAGGCCAAGAGAAAAACATTGGCTTCCTCCGCTTAATGTCAGGAAGATGGGCCTTGGCTAGCTCCCCAATTCCCCACACCCCACCCCTGCCTAACCATCTCTTTGCCACCTCCTCCCTGGGGGATACCCCCTCTGCCTTCCTTGTCCGTTCAGCCTGGCTGGGGGCCCAGACTTAGAGCTGGCCCAGGAGTCTCTAGGGGGGCTGCTGCATCTTTGGAATGTTTGCTCCACCCTTGCTGGCCCTCCTCTTTTATCCCAAAGTGCACTGGGCTCGGACATCTGCCAAGGGACTCAAGAATGTTGGGGGCCCATCTCTGCAGGTGGGGAGCAGACAGCCCTTGCCTCCCTGGCTACAGGCCCCACAAGACCTCAGCCATGAGCTCATGTAGCTGGAATGCCACTTGCTTTATTGGGAAACATTTGTGCTGGGGAAAGGCAGGGGCCCAGATGGAAGGGCAAATGGGAGGTTTCTGAGCCTCCTCCTACCCCCCTGGGCTCCCCATTCTCTGTCCTTCTGCAGCCCCTGCTGTCTTCACCTCTTGCCCTTCTGGTGACCCTGCCCCTTCACTCTGTACCCTGCCCCCTTCCTGAAATGTGTTTTCTTGGAAAGGACTCTCTTGTCTCAGTTCTGCTTTCCTTTTCTTGGCTGGCTTCCTGAGGTAGGAACCGGTGAGTTAGGACAGCAGGGCCCTCTGGGATTGTCTCCTGGTCACAGCCCAGGCCCAGAAGGGAAGGATGCCCACAGTCAGGGTGACCTCAGTGTATGCCCAGCCTTTCCTTCTCCCAATGATGTCCAGGAAAGCAACCTCAAAGCTCGGGACAGTGCTGGGCTTGACCCCCCCCCTCCAGGACCAGGGGGACCTTGAGAGACTAGGGAACCCCACTTAGGGCCCCAAGCTGGGTCTCTGGGAGCATCCCACCTTCATGACAGCTCTCTCCTGCCTTCCTCCTCGCTGGCCTAGGACAGCCGGGCTGCCCTCTCTTGCCTGGAAATTGAAGGTGGAGGGCTATCTGGGCTTGTGGGGTTGGCCAGTGGTTTAAAGTCGTCCACACCTTAGCAGGTCTCAGGCTCCCAGGCCAAGGAGCTACATGACCTGGGGCAATTTCCCTAACATCTCTGGGCTTCAGTTTGCCCCTCTGGAGCTCTGGTGGCCTAGTGCCTAAGGCATTTGACTGCTAAGCAGAAGGTTGGTGGTTCAAACCCACCAGCCACTCTGAGGAAGGAAGAGGCATGAGGTGAGGGGGGCAGGCAATCTACTTTTTACTTCCTGCCCAATGGGGTCACTATGTTTTGTTTGGTTTTGTGAACCCAGCATATCTTCAGTACATGTGTTTGCAGCATGGGGTGGGGGAGAGGTGTGTGTGTGGGGGGGTTTGGCTGCAGCACATACAGGTGGGGCCTGGTTGTTTGGAAGTGTGTTGGGAGGAGGGAAGGCCCAAGGGTCCTGGAGAAGCAAAAGGAGGTGAGATTGTATCTGGGGGCCACCAGGAAAGTGACTGCTGCCCCTGTCTCCTCCCAACATGGATTCTTTGAGAGCCAGTGAGGCTGATGTTCCAGCAGCTCAGTGGCAGAATCTGGGGTGGAGAAGCAGAAAAATATTTGTTAACAGAGTCACATGTTCTGTTAAACTTTTCCAAAAGAAGATTTTTTGGCATTTTCTTTAGGAAGCCCCTGAAAAGCTTCAGGCCCCACAACTCTGGACCCACCTCGGTGTGGTGGGGGCAGGGGCAGACAGATAATTCTGAGGGAAAGGGGAGGTGGAGTGGAGAAAGCCTAAAATGACTTCCATGTGTGCAGGCTTACTCGATCTAGACGTCTCCCAACCCCCTGCCCGCTCATTCTGCCAGGAAAGGCCTAAAAAGCAGTGACTGGGACCCCAGCAAAGCTTCCAAGCTGTGACTTAGGAAGGGCCCAATGGACTGGGAGACCCCAAGCCCCAGCAGAGGTAGGATGGTACGCCACTGACCGACTCCTCCAGGGTGACCTTGTGACAGGGTTGTCCATCCAGGACCCAGTGTAAGGTAGCTGGCTCTCCAGGGACATCTCCTAGGGTGAGGACAGGGCACAAGGTGAGAAGGGCCCTGAATAGCACAGAGCAGGAGTAGCAGAGAGACGGGCTTGCAGCTTTCACCATGTTTTCAGCCTAGAGTAGGATGGGCACTCATGGGACATCCCTGGAACTGAGGGGCCACCAAGAAAGGGGCAGAGGAGAGACACAGGAGCCTGGGAAGAGACAGCTCAGCTGGGGATGAAAGAGGCCCACTGACTTTTTGGGGAAGGGAAGGGCTTGGGGTCAGAGGTCACAAGGAAGAGGCCAACCTCTCTCCCCTCAAATAAGGAAGAGCTGAGTGGAAGCAGCCTGGGTATTTTTAGAGCAGGCAGCAGATCCTTTAGGATGAGAGATCCTGAGAGTGGATGCCAGCGTCTTCCCCATTCCCCACCATGTAAGAGCAGTAACAACAACCAGAGGCTGTCTTAGGAGGTGCACCTTACCCCTTCATGCTGGGGACAAGGCTAGACCCTAGTCCAGAAACCCCCTCCTCTTGCCTTCAGGGTGGAGGGCTCTTGGGGGACAGAGCTGAGTGGGCCTAAGGGACATTGGAATGCTCCCCTGGAATGCTCCTCAACTCCACCACTGGGCCCCAGCATTCACCAGGCCTGTCCTATAGGAGCCAGGCCTGAGGCAGCCCAGAGCCCCAGCCAGCCCTCCCATCCCTCTGGCATGTAGTCCTGGGGCAGGCTCAGCTCCCAGAGCAACACCCCACCCAGAGGTGGGCCCTGACCCCAACCCTGCCCAGGCTGAGACGGCTGCCTGTGGAGGTGGTTCAGCTCCTGACTGGATACCCCTATGCCTTTTCCTGCCTCCACTGCCTCTCCTAGGCCCTGGGCATCAAAGACCTGGAATAGCAGCAACTCCTGGAACTCCTTCTCCCCAAGAAGCCCTCCCTGATTGTAAGTGAGTTGTCATCACTCCCACAGACCAGTGCAGGTGTGGGAACCCCATTGCCTTGGGAGAGGCTAAAAGGGTGAGTGTGGGGAGGGGCTTGAGTGGGTTTAGGGGAGAAGGTGAGGTGGGGGTCTCTCAGCCCAGAGAGGACTTAACTGGATGTGGAGAGACAGATCTTGCTGAGCCCAGGCCTCCAAGGGTGGAAAGGGGAAGAGTGTGCCTGTGGGCATGTGTGGGTGTGGGTGTGGGGGTTCCCCACACAGCCCTGTACACACACATAGGCCACTGGCCCCTTGGTAGAGGGAGGCAAACTTGGAGCTGTGGTGACTAGGTGGATAGAAGTGAAACTGGGGGAACCAGGCTGTGTTGGGGAGCATTGAGCTCATCTCCATTTCTCCCAGAGGTCCCAGAGGGGAGGGAGCAGCAGGTTACCTAAGGACCATCCCCAAAGGCAAGGGCTAATACTCCTCTCTATTGGGACCTGGAGCAGAGCAAAAAGATGATGCTGGACGCCTGCCCTGGACTGGCTGCTTGGTCAGGGCTGGTCGGTGCTCGGTGCCTGGTAGCCAGCAGCAGCCCTCTCTGCCAACCCTGCACCAGCTCAGCCCAGCCCTACCCTGCAGGGTCGCCCTCCCTGTCACATCAGCCAGGCACTTGTATAGAACGGGTCTAATCCTTCCATCACTGTTTTACAGACAGCTGGAAGAGGTTACTGGAATGGCTCTGCTAACCAGGCACCCTCAATAGGGAGAAGTCCCTCTATGTAACCAAACAAGGCAACAATATAAACACTGTGCCAAGGCTCAGAGGGGAGGCGGGTGAGCACAGGGTGGAGGCCACAGCTAGTCCTATAGTCTGAGGACAGAACAGGGACTCTGGAGTGGAGGCCTGTTGGGATGGGGGGCTTCCCAGAGCAGGGAGACCCGCTTAGCCCTAAGGAGCAGTGCTGCTGTTCACACTGGAGCTGGGTGCTATGAGGTCAGAGTGGAAAATCCTGGCATAGGGCGTTATGGGGAGATGGCAGCTGCTGAGAACGAAAGGGGACGTTCCTCTCTGCCTTGTCGGTGGAGGGGTTGCAGCCAGGCAGAATGTGGGCAAGTCGGTGAGAGTCCAGCCCGAGCACAGTTGAGGGTCCCTGGATAGGTCCCACAGAAACCCTCGCAGGCCCTCCTGGCTTTCTGCGCTCCCCGCCAGCGGTCCAGGGGCTTCAGACCCTCTCATCCCCTGACTGTCCCAAGGCTCTGGCAGGACACCCTTGGGGCATATCCCAACCGCCTCCTCACCTTGAAGAGCCCCGGGCCCCGGCACCGGCCACAGCAGCAGCAGCAGCAGCACCAGCGACCCCCGAGCTCTTCGGGGCCCCCAGTCCATGCTGTGAACACCTCCGCCTCTAAGCTGCGGCTCAGTCTCCAGGCTCCGCCCCGGCTGGATCGCGGCCGCCCCACGCCCAGGGTAGCCCGGCTTGCCGCCGTCCCAGACCCTCCCGCGCCCTTCCCAACTCAGTCGCTCCCCGCGGGACCCCAGCCCCACCCGTGCCGGGACCGCAGCCGGCCTTGTCCCTACTCTGATCTGCGGGACAGACCTTGTGCGTCCGGGGTGGGATGGGGTGGGGTGGGGGAGCCAGGATGACCCTGCCAGCCGGAGCAGCCGTCGAGGGAGGAGAGCTCGGCCGGGCGGGGCGGGGTGGAATCCCTGTGTCCTTGGGTCTCCGAGGGAAGGTGGAGATGGGGCAGGAACAGTGGGGAAGCAAGCGCCTTTGAGAACCGAAGTGTGTGTGTGTAGGGGGGAGTGGACAGAGGCTGGACCTGGGGGTGCTGCCAACTGCTGCTTCAGTCTGCCCAGATGCCCAGAGAGGGTCCCAATCCGTGGCCTCCCGGAACTGTCTCTGTCCCTGCCCTGCCACCGGTCCTAACCAGAGGCGCCCCAGGGAACACCCAGCGGAGGTTGAGCCAGGCCCTCGACTGACTTGGGGGGTCCCTAGGGAAAGGGAGGCTGGGCGACCGCGGGCCGTAGTCCTGGGGGCGTCTGTGCTGGGCAAAGGCGGTACTGTCGGACAAGCGCCAAGGACGTGGGTGTCCCTGGCCTTGGGAAGAGTTGTTCAAAGCCATAGACTCCCAGGCATGTGGGATCCACTCGGCCTCAGTAACATCTGTTTCTTGTTTTAAAAAGTGTTTTGTTTTGTTTTGTTTTGTTTGCTTTCTTTTAATAGATAATACATTTGAATAGAGTAGGGAGGATTAGGATAACGGGGATGTTAAAGTGTAAGCTAATCTATTAAACAAATCAAGAATTCCATTAGCAAGGGCTCCAACAGAGGGGAAGATGGTTGTTCAAGTGATGCAAATGTCGAAAAATATAAGATGACACTCTTTAGAACAATCAACTATGGGAGATCAGAAGGGTAGTGTTTGCCCTGGGAGATAGCTCGGAGGGCAGGGATACACAGGGAAAAGGTAACCATAGGGAGGAAGTGGAAAAAGTTGTTACAATATGGGGATTGCAGTCAATATCATGTAACACAATGTGTATGAACTGTTGTATGGAAAATGAATTTGCTTTGTAAACTTTCACTCAAATCAATATATATATATATATATATGATGAAAATGTCCCCATCCTCTCAGCCCTGATCCTCCAACAGGAAGCCTCTTGTATAGTTTTTTTTTTTTTTTTT